CTGAGGGTTGCGATCCGTTGCCGGACACGGAAAAAAGACAAAAAGACAAAAAATAAAAAAATAAAAAATAAAAAAAATAAAAAGAGTATTTAATTCTTTTAATGACTAAAATAAAGACAACATAGCATGAAAAAATGTTTGTCAATTCTGCATCATATATGTTCTTAACGGAATATCCCACCTGTGCTGTGGTTACGCCCATGTAAAAAGATATGATACAGAGGGAAAGAGCCAGTGGGAGACCACATTGATACGCTGGCCGTGTCTGGGGGTGTGACCGTGGGGAGGAACTGTTCTGTCTTCAGGTACTGGCATCCTCTTGCATCACTGAAGGCTGCACCCCATGCTGGCCAGAGGCAGAGGCAGCACCCTGGGCATGACATTAGCTCCAGGTTTGTCAATTCTGCATCATATATGTTCTTAACGGAATATCCCACCTGTGCTGTGGTTACGCCCATGTAAAAAGATATGATACAGAGGGAAAGAGCCAGTGGGAGACCACATTGATACGCTGGCCGTGTCTGGGGGTGTGACCGTGGGGAGAAACTGTCTTCAGGTACTGGCATCCTCTTGCATCACTGAAGGCTGCACCCCATGCTGGCCAGAGGCAGAGGCAGCACCCTGGGCATGACATTAGCTCCAGGAAGGAGCTCTTCCCTCCTGAACCTTCTCCCAACATGTCTCTGGCATTCTGTCGCCTGCCTTCCTGCCCTGCTCAGCTCGTTAGTGAAGGCACCAGTCAGCCCCTCCACTTGGGGCAGTGTAGGCATGCCACCTAATAGAGGGCCACATCTGTACCCTGACAACTTGCTGGCCCCAGGGAGGCTCCCAAATCCAATCACTCTTACCCCTTACCTCCCCCCCTGCAGGGTCCCTGCCCACTCTACCTTCCCACCCGTCCCTTAGGAGGCTGGTTTGCATTACAGGCATCCTGTGGTTTCTGCAGATAGAAATGCTGAAAGGGAAACATCTACAGACAAATTTTATACTTGATAAGAGTTCACAGATCAGAGAATCTTTTAGGTCAAAAAGACCTTAGAAGCCACTTCATAGTTATTTGGAGGCATTTAATTAGAATCTGTGATTTAAGTCATCATGACCCAGAACGCAAAGCTAATTTACAGAGCTGAACTTGATTTCCCTTCTTAGTCTCATTAATTTAAGGTAATTTGCCAAGGATTCCTATATTCCCAAGGTCCCTGTTTTACCTCCCAGCCCCATGTGAAGACCAGAGCTCATCAGGAAGAAAAACTGCACTTAAATCAAAGAGGACAGAGAGGGTGTGGGAGTTGTTCACGGGACTGGAATTTCTTCTTGGGAGCAAGAAGAAAGAAGCAATAACTCAGGAAACTAATCGCCTCCTTTCCTCACTCTGTGGAGTCATGTGACTCCTCAATCCACAGCACCCCCCAGGCTCCACCCACTAAGGCCCCTCCGCCCAGTGTGGGGAAGGGGAGATGGAGGTAGCGAGAACAAGAGTAAGACAGAGGGCACGAGGGCTCACACGGGCAATGGGGTTGGTGAGGGTTGGCAAGGGCTGTGAGGACAGCCTTGGGAAAGGTCTGCCTGCCTTCCTCCTTGACAGCACTGGGGAATCTCAGGCCTGGGAGGAGTCCTGGAGGCCCCTCCAGCTCAGTAACTTCTCGGGGGCTGCTGAGCTAGAGTTGGGGGGGGCAGGGCGGAGATTAACCACAAGAGCTCCATTTTTGTCCATCTTATACACGGAGATTCTTTTGAAAATAATTTTAAAAGAGAGTTACATAGAAGTACAGACAGGCTATTTGTTCCAGGTCACATGAGGTGAAGGAAGGACTATCAGAATCAACGCAAAGCAAAAAGCCCAAATATAAGTGGGGCCCCTCCGTCTGCCTCCCCTGCCACCCTCCCAACCCTCTGCCATCACTGCGCCAGCAAACAAGCTAAGAGCCTCCGCTGTGCCTCTGCTCTCCAAGTGCGCGCAGCACAAGGCAGAAAGTAAAATGAAAGGGCACGAGTCAGCAGCCCCTCAGGAAGAGGCTCCTCCAGGAGGCAGAAAGACGAAAAAGCTTCTCCCTGAGACCCCAAATCCAAGACAGCTAAAATCACTGACCGATGAAGTGTCATGCCATTCGCTGGCACCAAACACTACTATTAGTAACAACCTGAGAGAGACGACCAGGCCTCACGGCTGGCTTGACATCAGCACAGCCATGATAATCAACCTTCTACCCTCTTCCCCTTTGCCCCTAGAGGCCTATCTCACGTTAATCAACTTTCACCCCCTACCCTCTTCCTGTCTGAGAAAAAACAGAATTTGTGCAAAACAGATTCTTATGCAAAAATGACCACCCAGCACCCTTCCTCTAATTCAAACCTTATAAAACCTTTCTAGGGCCAGCCCCGTGGCTCACTCGGGAGAGCGTGGTGCTGATGGCACCAAGGCCCCGGGTTCGGATCCCATATGGGGATGGCCGGTTAGCTCACCAGGTGAGCGTGGTGCTGACAACACCAAGTCAAGGGTTAAGATCCCCTTACTGGTCATCTTTTAAAAAAAAAAGAAAAACCTTTTTAGTCTGTACGGGGCGGGAGCTGATCTGACTCAGTCTCCTCTCCACACTGGGGAAATAAAGCTTCTTGGCTGACGT